AAACCCCAAAACCCCAAAACCCCAAAACCCCAAAACCCCAAAACCCCAGTTAAATGAAATAAAACTGAATTATAATAATAAATCTTGAAATGTACAGCACAAAATTCAGAAGAGTCATGACAATGGCTCCCTTCCTCTTGGCCAATCCTGCCCTCGCCTTGTGCGAGGAACCCTCTACTGCTGACCGTATTAGAGGTAACTACGAGAACAAAATTCGATTTTTCGCAGCGCCAGAGTAAAAATCTTTGAAACCTTTTCCAACATTAGGGAGGAAGATGGACAAGTCTACATGTCGTATCAAGACTTCTTCCATTCACTAACTCCCTACAATTTTGTTGCTTCCAAAGACGACGACGATGACGATGATGACGAAGAGAATAAGGACAAAGAAAAGGAGAAAGAACCAGGATACTTTGATAAATTCACTCCTGAAATCATGACCATCGTTGATGCCAATCAAGATAAAAAGATTGATTTCAATGAGTATATCTTCTTCATCACCCTCCTTCAACTTCCTGAAGGGGAAGTAATGAGGATTATCGAGAAGGTTAATCCAGAAGAAAGAAAGATTAACAAAGCTCAATTTGCTAAATATCTTACTAAGCTCAGGAAATGTACTGCTCTGGGACTTAAGCAAATGAGCAAATCTTTCATGCCAGATGGAAGAAAGATCTCGACTGATGAGGATCATATTTCAAAGACCATCCTTCTCCATCTCTTCAATGATAAAGAGTACATCACTATCGAAGACTTTTGTGAACTCAAGAGTAAACTGAAGCATGCTCTGCTTCATTATGAATTCTATCAGTTTGATGTAGATGAGGATGAAACCATTTCTGCAGAATCTTTTGCAAAGAGTCTCCTCTCATGACTCAACTACACTCAGGCTTCTAAATACTCAAGAAGGATACACTCTCTCAAGCTGGAAGGAAGAGTATCTTTCAAAGAATATGTTGCTTTCCATAACCTCATTGAGAAGGCAGATATTATCAAGATGAAAATATGTAAGATATGAGGCTTAACCTACTTATATAGCTACCTACAGATTCTTGAGTCTCGGGATGTTCAGAGATCTCTGTGATGATTTCGCTAAGCTAGACCCTTACTGTAACCAGAATAAGGTTTCCATCAGTGATACCCAGATCGCTACCTTCTTCAAAGTTCTTGATGAAGATGAAAATGGAGCTCTCGAATATGATGAAGTGGTAGATATCCTTGAAGGTAAGCTCTCTCCAGTAATCTCTAGGCAAGAAGAACATTGGACTTGGTAAAGAAGATAAGTTCAAGAGAGAAATGACGGAGAAAATAGACAGATATATCAAAAAGTTCCAAAAATACGTTGGTTGGACCTAATTACCATCTTCTTCTAAAGATCTCTAGTTTAAACTTTAAACTCGTATGGGGTTTTGGGGTTTTGGGGTTTTGGGGTTTTGGGG